TCAAAACATTGCTCAAGATGAAGAAGATGACCCATTCGCCGTGGCACCACCACCACCACCTCCACTTCCACCGCCAACTCCGACAACGTGTGCAACACTTTCACTTTCAATATTAATATTATTAGTATTAGTAGTATTAATATTATTCTCCTCCCCCTCTTCACCAACACCATTGTTGCCATTGTTTTCGTTGTTGCCATTGCTTTCAAGATTGATTTTTTCACCTCCAAGACTCTCCCTTCTCCCGAAAGTGTTCTTGTTATTATGCATCCATACCTTCAACACAGTTCTATCGACCCCAACTTCATTACAAAACTCCTGCACCATTTCATCGTCTCTCTTTTGCATCTTCCACCCCACTCTCTCTGCAAACTCAAGCATTTTCTCCTTCTGTCTCTGACTGAACTTCGTTCTAAACCTCTTCCTCGAGCTCGCCCCGACATTTCCGACATTATTCATCACATTTTCGTGCCCGCTCAAGTTCCCGGATAAAGCAAGCAGCATGTGGGGGGCTGACGGGTAGTACGACGACGAGATCGGCGGAGGAGAGGAAGAACTGGGGCTTCTGTGCGGCGGAGGTTGAGCTTGGGACGATGGTGGAGGCGGAGGGTGGTGACGGTGGTGGGGCTGGTACTCAATTGTCGCAGTTGTAATTGTATTAGGATTAGCTGTAGCGTGAGGTGTGGTGGGAGCAAACGACGGGTCGTCTGGGTCCCGGCGGTGGAAGTTACGGTGGCAGCCACACGCGGCACATTTAAGGGAAGTGGGATCCGTCGACGTGGCAGTAGGAGAAGGCATGAACTCTCCACACCCGTCTAGAGCATGTCCACCCAAGCTGGCTGCATGATTTTTCAGACATTCTTTGTAAGTAATAACAATAGGATGATGATGGTGGCTGTGGTGGTGGCCGCCGCCGCCGTGGTGTTGGTGGTGATGAACCTGGTGGCGCTTCAACACCCCGTTGGTGAAAGTTAAATGCTTCGCCGGAAGGATCTTCGTGGCCGCTGTTTCAGTACTCTCAGTTTCAGGAGACTTCGAAGCTGGGGTTAAGTCCATGGCTCAAACATTAATTAACAATTTCAAAACTTAAAAGGGAAAAATTAAAAAGAAAAAAAAAAGTGGTTTTGAAAAAAGTAGTTTGAAGAAGAGGTCAAGTTAGGGTTAAGTGGGGGTGAAAGATTGAAACTTTATTATGGGT